TGAGATGATGTTATTATGGCGGCCGACATCCTCCATCCTATCTTCTACCATCCTGAGTGCAGTAGAACCTGTTGCTGCGATAATCACAAAATTTATCTAGAGCGTCATTAAGAATCGAGGGAGTAGACTGTCGCCCACCACCAAGTTCGGTAATTATGAGTCACTGTACTCTGAAGCCTCTCGTCCTGCTCCATCTGCTTTGGTTGATGTCTCGTATGACTTGGAATATATATAATGGAAGCGTCCCATTCTGCTTCATCTGGGTCAGTTGAATTCTCACGAGACTACAACCTTTTGGTGTGTGTGTGTGTGTGTGGTTTCCTCCCTTCATAACGTCAACAGCGGTTCCTCGTGTGTGTCTACCTGGCCGCCAGGGACTGGTTCAAGAGTTCTCCCACTAAGCTGTCACTTTTTACAACAAATTTATATTAACGAGTGTGAAGGAAACAAATTTCCTTACTTTAAACATGACTTATATCCACCACTTACAATTTTCGTCCATAAATTAAATTAGATTTTTAAGAAATAATTTACCTGCCATTTACCTGTCTTTCATAGATACTTACAACCAAAATCAAAATCATGCAGAGTTTTTACGGCAGTCAGCGAATTTATTAAATATAATATAGCATTAATTCAAGTAAAAATTATATAAATAATTTTTCGAAACTACAGGAAGTGGATTGTTGTCGAGAAGATGAAGAAACCGCGGGAAAAACTTTGTTATGAAGACTGATAAAATAGACCAAGGAACGTGTCTGTCCCTAAGGTGAAGACAACACAACAATTGGTTCTTTACTTACTGCACTTTGGCTTTCAGGGCAGCAGTAAATGAAGGAAGACGAGGTGGTCCCACAAAAGGTAGACAAGTCCCCCGCTGCGCCACAACAAAGACCAAACAATCACTGAAGACCACGTGAACATTAGGCACCTCAGCTTTTTTCGCCCGCTGATTCAAGACCCTAGCTCTACCTGGGGTTGGGTTAGGTTAGGTTAGGTTAACGTTAAAATGTTTAATCTTCAGGTGAAATAATAAGTTAGGGTATCTATTCTAGCTTGAATATTTTTTAGATATTGCTGTGATATTTTATAAATTTGCCCTCAGTGGATATCTACTGTGGTTTGTTGAAGTTGTCGCGCTCAAAAACCCCAGGTTGCGCGGACTGACAGACAGACACACAAGATAAAACTGCATCCCACGTCTTCCTCCCGGGACGGTGGCAGTGGACGAAAACCAAGCTATTTTTCTACTACACAGCGTTACTGATACAGGAGATGCAGACCAAGTTTAGGCCGTCAGCAGCTCTCTGGTTACCCAGTTCGTGTCAAGGCTGACAGCAGGATCCAGCACAGCACGGAGAGTCAGCTGACACCCACAAGGACAGGGCCCGCGAGGACTAGGTTTAGTGAGACCTGCCAAATACTGTCTTAGAGCAGCTCCACGGCTCACCCCTGGTAGGATGGAGGACCCACCTGGTAGTTGCTCCAGCTAAGATGAAAACTGTGTTGATAATGACGAAGGTGTTTAATTATACTTTTGCTACAGGTGAAAAACAACCATCGGGATAACTAACTCTAAATGTCTGTAGTGTCGACAGGAAGCTGACAATGCCGTATTATTATTGTCCGAAAAAACTTAAAAGACTCCTGAACCGTGTTTCAATTAAGATTAATAATTATAATATATCATTATTATTTTTTTAAGGATTACCTGTTGAAGTTTTTGAACGTTTGTGATGAGACTCAGTGAGGTGGACAACGTTAGGTGCACCTGTAGTGACCTGAGGATGTGGCTCGGCACCTTACACACCCCCAACACACCTCCACACACCCCCAACACACCTCCACACACCCCCAACACACCTCCACACATCCCCAACACACTCTTACACACCTCCACACACCCCCAACACACCCTTACACACCTCCTCCACACACCCCCAACACACCCTTACACACCTCCACACCCCCCAACATCACACTAACATTAACTCACTAACATACAAACATTTACCTTGACATCAGCAACATTCAATAACACGTCTGTCCCTATACAATGCAGGGAGAGAGACTGATATCATCCGTTAACGACACAATTACAACGTATAATGTGAAAATGGGGAGGGGGGGAGATGGTTCTGTTGTTGATGCATATATGATACAATTACTTCCGCATCCTAAACACAGCGCCAACGCGGTCAGGCGCGCAGACAATGCCAGCGCGGTGCCAACATCAGACAATCAGATGCCAACACGCGGTCAGACAATGCCAACACGAGCGGTCAGACAATGCCAACACGAGCGGTCAGACAATGCCAACACGAGCGGTCAACAATGCCAACACGCGCGGTCAGACAATGCCAACACGAGCGGTCAAACAATACCAACACGAGCGGTCAGACAATGCCAACACGCGCGGTCAGACAATGCCAACACGAGCGGTCAGACAATGCCAACACGCGCGGTCAAACAATGCCAACACGAGCGGTCAGACGCACGAGCGGTCAGACACAACACGCGCGTCAACACGAGCGGTCGAACAATGCCAACACGCGCGGTCAAACAAGCCAACGAGCGGTCAGACAATGTCAACGACGAGCCAACACGAGCGGTCAGACAATGCCAACACGAGCGGTCAAACAATACCAACGCGAGCGGTCAGACAATGCCAACACGAGCGGTCAGACAATGCCAGCACGAGCATTTAACAGACACCAGCGTGAAAATATTATAAACAAAAGATAACAATAAAAAAAAAAAAACGAGTAAAAATGAATAAATAAATAACAAAATAAGAGGGAATAAATCATTTGAGAGAGAGAGAGATAGAGAAATTCTTTTTTCTAATGGCTAAATCAACTCATGTCATCTATTCTTAATTTGGTGAACATAATCTTGATACTGGCTGAGTTTTTTAAAGTTACCTGTTTGACGTCATCTCAAAAACATGACCCCACACTGTCTAATTTAACCACAAAACATTATTATCATTATTATTATTTATGAGACAAACTTAAATGTGGTGTTGAGAGAGAGAAAGAGAGCTGACGTAGACAGACAGAGACAGATACACAGAGACAGATAGACAGAGATAGACAGACAGACAGATAGATAGACAGAGATAGATAGACAGACAGATAGATAGACAGAGATAGATACAGATAGACAGACAGACAGAGACAGATAGATAGACAGACAGACAGACATATAGACAGAGATAGATAGACAGACAGATAGATAGACATACAGACAGATAGATAGATAGACAGACAGACAGATAGACAGACAGACAGATAGATAGACAGAGACAGATAGATAGATTGTAATTAAAATGATCATCTAATTAACCTAAAGTATGTAAAGTTAATGAGTCATCCCACATACTAATCCCTAATCCTTCACATACTAATCCCTAATCCTTTCCATACTAATCCCTAATCCTTTCCATACTAATCCATACCAATCCCTAATCCTTTATCCTTTCCATACTAATCCCTAATCCTTTCCATACTAATCTCTAATCCTTTCCATACTAATCCATAATCCTCCTCATACCAATCCCTAATCCTTAATCCTCCTCATACTAATCCCTAATCCATAATCCTCCTCATACCAATCCCTAATCCTTAATCCTTCCCATACTAATCCTTAATCATCCTCGTACTAATCCTTAATCCTTTCCAAACTAATCCTTAATCCTCCTCATACTAATTCCTAATCCTTAATCCTCCTCATACTAATCTCTAATCCTTTCCAAACTAATCCTTAATCCTCCTCATACTAATCCCTAATCCTCCTCATACTAATCTCTAATCCTTTCCAAACTAATCCTTAATCCTCCTCATACTAATCCCTAATCCTTAATCTTTCCCATAACCCCAATGTCCTCCTTAGCTTCCGCAGTCTGCTCAGCCTCACGTTGTTAGTAATTGTATTTCCTTCAACTTGTTGCTTGTTATTTGTTCGCTAATGTTCTTCAGAAAAAGTTATGTTCTTAACTTTAGCAAATAGGGGTTGGGTGTAAACGGGACTGCCCAGTATGGGCCAATAGGCCCGCTGCAGTTTCCTCCATTCTTATGTTTCTCTCGTCTCCTTCCTTGTTGTGCTTCGTCCTCTTGCTGTTATTGTTTTCATTGTTGTTCATGTTATTGTTGTTATCATTGCTGTTGTTATTATTGTTATTTCGATGTTGTTGTTCCTAACGTAACGTAACCTGACGACAATGATGATGATGAGACGCAAAGAATGACGCAATGTTCCTGAGGTTACTATTATGACAGGTAAGGAAGGATCTAATGTTAATAAATTACTAGTTTAATAACACTGAACAAGTACCATCCATAGATAATAGATTTGTTACACTGATATCCATTTGAGGAGGAAGAGGAGGAGGAAGAGGAATATAGGAGTAGGTGGAGGAGGAGATGTGAAGAGGAGGATAGGAGGAGGGGGAAGGATGGAAAGACGGAAACACGTGAAAAGACTAGATTGGCTTGGTTAGGTTAGTTTACGTACGAGGCGACAACACGTGTGTGAGAACTTCCACTTCGCTCGCATCCATAAGACACGGAAATCAGTAGATGAGAGAGAGAGTAATTACCTTACATAAAGTTAGTTCTCGCTAGTTAGGTTGAGACACGTGACCTCTATGAGCCACTGTTTCCTCACGATACCCAAAGCTTCAACCCTGTACGTGTTTACATCACAAGGGGGTAATTGATATTTAGGTAACAAATTCATCACTTGTAGCCTTCCATTTAGGGGTCTTAGCATATTATCGGCTCTTCTTATAATACCTTCCTATCGTAATAAAGACACACAGTATATCACTAACGTTACCAATAGTCGTAAAGTGTGGTAGGATTATGTGGTAGGGTTAGTTAAGTGTGGTAGGGTTAGTTATGTGTGGCAGGACGAGTAAAGTGTGAGAGGATTGTGTGGTAGGGTTAGTTAAGTGTGGCAGGACGAATAAAGTGTGGTAGGGTTAAGAGTTAACTCAC